CATTTTCCCAGTGAAGCCATGGATTAAACCATGGATTTTCCACATGGAACTGCTTGGAAAACCCCACAGATATGGCCCAAAACAACCAGTTATAAATGGGATTATAATTCCTGCAAATTTAATTGGTGATCTATCAGTATAAACTAGTGATAATTCCATGATTTTGTGATTTCCAATCACGTTCTTTTTTTTCATCATGTTCACATCTGTTCAGGGCTACAACGGGGGGGTAATACCCTCTGGTAAACGTTTACATAACTATGGAAAATCACCATTTTCAATGGGTCAATCCACTATTTCTATGGTCATTTTCAATAGCTTTTTCTATGTTTACCAGGCCGGGTAAATCCCCATGTTTGATACCAGATGGCATCTTAAGGCCATATCATCCAGTTCCCCACTTCCCCATGGTAGTCGTTACAAGGTGGTGCCCCATAGTTAGCTAAGTTGGTTTATAACTCCAATAACTATGGTTTATAGGTGATATATCTATAGTTAATGGGATTATAACCAACTTATAACTGGGGGGCACCACCTTGTAGTTTACCAGAGGCTATACGTTTTCTTCATCCGTGCGGCCGCGCCGGCCGCGCCGGCCGCAGGTATTCTTGCACGACGAGTCGCAGGAAGGACAGAACGCTCTAGCAGCGGTGGCGGCCACGGCGGCTGTGACTTGGCACATGGGATGTATACAGTAGATATAGTATCTGGTTGGTGGTTTGGAACATCAATTTTATGACTTTCCATATATTGGGAATAAGCATCCCAACTGACTTTAGTATGGTTACTAAAATGTTTACTATCCATGGATATCCAATAGTATAATCAACTAAACATGGTTGATGATGTTTTTTCTCATCAATCTAGATGACTATAATATCTGGTTGGTGGTTTGGAACATTTTTTGTTTTCCACAATATATGGGATAATCCTTTTTCAGAGGGGTAGGTATACCACCAACCAGATAATATATGCATGTAATGGCTATAATAGGTATATAACAAGATATCATTGCTATATGAGGGTTTTGTTGGACCAACAAAACATATCACAAGAATTGGTCATAGATTCTAAAATAAGAAAATTAGGGTTTTTTAGATGGGGATACACCATATGGATATCATGGGAGATTGGAGCAACAAGAAACTGGGTATTAAACCATATGGAATTGCCATATATATATATATGCGCATATATATATATATATACACAACATATGTATATATATATATATAGGGCAGAGGCTGGGGGTTCCCCGGAAGGCAATTGAAGTTCATTGTGTTCCAGTTTGATAAATGTCATTGTTCACCGTGTTTTACAGTGTTTCGTGTTCTTCCTATAACGTGAGAATATCGGGAATTAGTTCCACATGCGGACAACATATCTGGGATATGTTGTCCGCTGTTTCAATGTCTTTTTGTCTTTGTCAAGTTCATCAACTTATATCATGTTTGCTTTTCCCATAGGAATTGCGTGTTTTTTTTTTGGAATTTCAGGTTTCTTTTGATAGACATAAAATGTCATAATCTACCCAGAGAACCATGGGCGAAATGCACATGAGCCTTTTTTTCTCTTCACATCCACAAAGCCGTTTTGAAAGCATTCGTAGGTGCACAAGCCCCGTTCACTTTGTGTCGGTAGAATTTCAATGCTTCCAGCACTGATTGAAGACTTGGGTTTCTGTGAATGTAAAAAGCTGACAACATATTAACGTAACAACATCTTCAACGTAACAACAGCTTGAACGTAACAACATCTTCAACGTAACAACTTCTTGAACGTAACAACATCTTCTGATGACGCAATGCGATGAACGTTAACATCCCCCCACCCCCCCATCTGTATGCAACACCGATCTTCAACGTAACAACCTCTTCTGATGACGCAATGCAATGAACGTTAACATCCCTCCACTCCCCCCATTTGTATGCAACACCGATCTTCAACGTAACAACATCTTCTGATGACGCAATGCAATGAACGTTAACATCCCTCCACCCCCCCCATTTGTATGCAACACCGATCTTCAACGTAACAACATCTTCTGATGAGGCAATGCAATGAATGTTAACATCCCCCATCTGTATGCAAGAATGACAAAATGTGCATATATCTATCAGAGAGAGACTGAAGGTTCCTACGTCTTGCAATTGCTGCAAGCAACAAAAACAGGATGCCCTTGGGGAGTCAACCACCAAAAAAATGGGAATGGTATGGAATGGTTGAATCTTCCAAAAGTGATGGAAAGGCCAACAAAAACATGGTATGTCTCGAGCTTCATTGCCTTCAACATGGGGGAATTCACTCTTGGGAATGACGGAGTGACCAGTGCATCTGTTGTTAGTGTGCTGCAACTCTTGATCAAGTCTTGCAAATTCCACGTTTTTTGTGCAACTGGATGTTGCAAGATGAGGATGCCTCCAACAAAATGTTCACGACTCATGAATTGCCTTTGAACCAAAGTTGGAAAGCCAAGGGTTTATCCTCCACTTACTCATTCTCAACTCAAACCTGTGATTTCTGAGGTGATTGGGGATTGTGCCAACAGGATCCCCCATCATCCATGATCCAGTGGTTTATTCATCATTTTCACCTTCGATTTTCTGGAGCCACGCTAAGATCAACTGAACGAATCTAAGCTGTGGAAGCAGATGGGACATACCGAACTAATGAATGGATACCAATGGAATTAACTGTTTTTCTCATCATTTTCCCAAATGGCTATGAATCAATACCTATTAATACCATTTTTAGAGGGTTATTCACATCCATAAATCCCAGCTATTTTGATGTGAACTACAGGGGTACCAGGGTTTTGACCCACTGCCACATGGCTACCCTCTGGTAAACTAACGTAACTATGGAAAACCCACCCATGTTTAATGGGTAAATCCACTATTTCCCACTAAACCCCCACTCAATCCCCATGAAATCCCATGAAGATGGCTATGGTCCTCTCGAGCTCAGGCGACCGCGCAGGCGAAGTATCAGGTGGTAGGGAGGGGCTGGGAGTGTCAAATGACCGCTGTCATATTGAGATTACTGAGGAAGTAAGGACCAAGGATATGATGGTACTATAATGATATATATATATATATACATATGTATATATATATTTATTATTATTACTACTATATACACGTATATTATATATATATATACGTAAATATATATATACGTATATATATATATATATATATATTATATATATTATATATATATATTATATATATTATATATATATATATATTATATATATACTTATTTATTTACGTATATATATAATTTACACACACACATATATATATAATATACATACAGAATATATATATATATATATATATATATATATATTATACAGAATATATATACAATATACATAATATATCTATATACATACATACATACATACATATATATACATATTAATGGGATAAAGCGGAATATATATATATATATATATACACACGTCCTCGTTAATGATATATTCTATAATTGTGTAATGAGAACATCCACTATAATTGGACTTATCAATGGTATATTTATGGTATATAGACATAGAGGAATACTGATGCGTTGATATCAATGATATAGCTTTAATAGATTGTAGATTTCTATAATGGACATGTGGCATATGGGAAAATGTTCCATTTATCGATGATTATAGTGATGATGTACCTATTGACTATGCTTAACATGCTTAACTACGTTTATGGCATATGTAATTAGATGAGTGTTTCTTAAGTCATGGGGGTACCCCAAGTCTTTCAATACTCAGTCATGGTCAAATGACTTGGATGATTTTGGGTATATCTATTTTAGAAAACCACATTGGGAAATTATTGATGGGTTGATATCGTAGGGGTTCCAGTTGTGGTTCCTGGTGGTTGTTGTTGGTGTTGCTGCTGTTGTTGCTGTTGTTGCTGCCGCTGTTGGTGTGAGCCGCGCAGGGCCCCATAAACCGTCATATTGGCTCTGTTTTGCCAATTTTGAAAGCCTTCGGGACAAAACACTTCAAATACTGCTGTTTTTCATTGTTTTTCGCGTCGGAGGCCAAAAACCATGGTATTTACCCTCTGGTAAACTAACATAACTATGGAAAATTACAATTTTTCATGGGAAAATTCACTATAAATGGCAATTTTCAATAGCTATGTTAAATTACCAGAGGGACAATGCTTTTTGCCTCCGTTAGCAAAAACCATGGTATTGCAATGTTTTTTGGACAACACCTAGCAAAAAAACACTTGCACTTGCGCAGTTTCAGCATGTTGCAATAAGATGCAATAAGTAGTTTTTCCATGCAAGAGCTACAAAACAAAACACTGTAATTTACAGTGTTTTGGCTTGTGACATGCACCAAAACACCAAAAATTCGCCAAAAAGCCTAAATCGCCGGGTTTTTAGGCTTTTTGGCGAATTTTTGGTGTTGTTTTGGTGCATGCCGAAGGCCAAAGCAGGAATGCTTCTCCATTTTTCCTTGCGACGTGCACGCATACACACATTGCTTTGTTTCAAAGTTAAGTCGCGCTCCTTGTCAGGGTTTCGGTTGTTTCTACATCTTCCAACCAACTTTGCTGTTGGGGATACCACCTAGTTTTTCTTGCAGAGTCGGAACAGTTTAGGCCCACAGAGATGGCATTGTTTGACATGTGTTGGATTCATTACTGTTGTAGAAATTCGACGCGTGAGTGAGTAGCAAGCGCAGTTGCATTTGCATTGGCAGGCGGGGTAACTTTTGCTACCAAGTTGTGACCCATCCAAATCATTTACACCGTGCATGGGCGGCATTTAGGGAGAATTTAATAGAGCTAACTTGGCTAGACTGCGCTGTCAGTCGCCGCTTGTTCTTCGGAACATCGGTTATGTTTAGGAATTGGTAATTAGACGAGGTAAAGCCCACAAGGCTTATTCCTGCTGTGGTGTTGAAAATACAACAGTGTAGGCTTGTCATTCGCTGGATGGCTGAATCAGTCAGTTAGAAATTGGCACCCGGCAGGATGGCGGATGCATTGCAATATGCGCCGGAAAACCGGCGCATGTGTTGCGAGGTGAGGGTGAACTTGTGGAGCCATTTTGGTATTCTGTGAAAGCCACAGCCTGGCCTATCACTTGGGACGTGATGGTTTAAGCAGTTGAATCAGTTTCGCTTGGTGATATACCATAAACCGGCAGTTGTGCACGGGTTCGAGCTATTAGTTGGTGCTGTCGTGATGGGGCAGCCACAATCCGCGCTGATTTGCACGCTGAGCAAGCCAGTGGTGCACAATCAATCATGATGATGCACGTACCTGTCGATGAGGCGTTGGAGGGCAAAGAGCATTTGGGGGCCGGTTGACGTAGCAGAGTTGGTAGGAGATTGAGTACACGTAGGAGTATAGCAGCAGCTGTAGCATACCAGGTGCAGATCCAGGAGCAGATGCATTAGCAGTAGTTGGAAGGTTCTGGGTTCCCGAGGCCCGGCAAGAGTTATGAAAAGCAAAGAAAAGCATCTATACCTATGCTTGACCATCCCGACAACGGACACGGAGTTCAATGGCATCGTGACGGAGTTGAGGGAAGTGTTCGCTGCTGTGCACATATTGCCTGCCAATGAAAGGAGGAAAGGCAACCAAGACTTGAAGCAGAAGAGAACTCGGAAGGTGGAACATGTGCAGAATGTCGGCTCATCGCTCGTTGACCGGCTTTTGAAGCTTCGAGGGGAGTCTGGATCCGTGAAATCCCATAGGACTGGTTGGCATCAGATGCTGGAGGTTGTTGCATAATTAGAAGCCTTGGGTTGATGCGATTTGAAATTCATTTATGTTCGAAAGATGCCTCAGGGGCGTACCTGGCCCATGTGTTCGGCAGCGTCCTCGGTAAGCTGCAGCGTCTCACCCAACAAGCGTGGGATGAGAGCGGCTGGTCGCTTCGACTTCGGGTGTGGGGCCCAGGCTCCACGCAGGGGCCGCCGTACTTTTTGAGACGCTGGCGGACAGCTGTGCAGCGTCCTGTGCGGGCCGAGGTGGAGAGACCCTTCACCCTCGAAGAAGCTGGGCCTACAGAGGCACGTGTTCGGCCTGAATGTGCCGACGGTGCTGCGGGAGACGCTATTGGTGGAGCTCACCATGGTGCGTTTTCTCGC